CTGGAGCCAAAGATGGAGAAAAGAGGCCGCGTGGGCTCAGCGGGAAGCGGCACAACCCCCCCGCGGGTTTCTCTCCTCGCCCACCCCAGAGTTCGGCCCTGAGCTGCCCCAGCCACTCTCTCGCTGCGCCTGCTGCAGCTGCTGGCCCAGCAGTTCCCTGCCCTCTCTTTGCACCCTCTGTGCTTCAGCCCGTTGGAGCAAGCTCCCCAGGCCTCACCCACCACAGAGGGTGCAGAGGTCCCTATTACTGCTCTGGGGCTCAGCCACCAACCACCAAGTCAATCAACTATGCTTCATCTTTCTTCATACTGCACTCCAAGGATGGATTTCGAGCCTTACACGCAGCTGTGACTCAGCAGGTAAGGGACAGGTGCCCGAGACTGTGTGGTCAGCTCTGTACCACACCCTACAGAATATAAAAAGGGGATAAAATGGTATTAAATCTTATCCTCTTGTCTGTGGTTTATGCAAGCTCACCTCAGTTTCTTCCCCACAAGTAACGGGGGCCCAGACAGCATCTTCTTACCTTTAGCTTCCAAGAACCTTTCCCAGGGTACAGCACTAACAACATTTTGTTCCAACTGTTTATTCAGATATGTGAATTAAACCAGTGTACCATTTCAAGAGCAAGCTGGAACTAATTCTGAATTTTAAAAAAGCATAAAAAGCAGTTCTTACTTTCCTTCTCTATAGAGAACACTGCTGAGTAACAGTTCACAAAGTGCTTCATTCCTCTTCTCAAAGTTTGTGGCCAGATTCAAACCAGCATCAGCACAGCTGCAGATGAACCATTCAAGTGGGCTCACCTGCTCCTCCTTCAGGGCTCTTACTCTTCTTTGAACCTCAGCTTGTTCTTCACCTTCCGGGACATGTAAGCAGCTGTGAGGACAGAGCAGGTCACGGTGAAGAGGCACAGGGCAGAGAAGTTGTGTGCCAAATCACCCTGAAGAGTGGAATAGATCTGTCGCCTGGACTCGTAGTCCAGCACCACCGCCTCGATCTGCGCCAGCGTGCAGAGCACCAGGCACACGTGAAAAATCTGATGGCTCTGCCCAAGGAAGTGACATTTCCCAGGGAGCCACTTCTCGGGGTAAGGGTGCGAGAAAAAAAAGGCACCTACGAGGAAGAAGAGCACCTGGCACTTGTGATAGAGCAGGGCCGGGTCAGCGCGCGCGGAGGGCGGCGCCGTGGAGATGCGATGGACCACGGGGCTGATGTCCAGCACGTACGCCAGGCCCGAGGGCAGCTCCTGGCAGAGCCGGCCCAGGGGCCCAGCAGACTGGTGGTACTGGTACTTGGCGTAGCAGGATCCAGCACAGGACAGCCACGCCAACAGGACGGCCGCCGGCATGTAAAACCCCTTGATCTTCTCGTGCCAGCTGGGCTCGATGGCGTAGTAGTAGTGCCCCAGCGCGCTGCCGTACTGGTAAACGGCAACCCCCACGTAGTCCATGAAGAAGAAGCTGTAGTGCCAGAACTCAGATTTGGCCTGCAGGAGGTGAGCGAGGGTGCTGAACGTCAGGTAGGTGATGGACGCCACGATGATGATGAGGAGGGGTTGGGCGTGCAGGTCCTGCCCGAAATCCACCCTCTGCGAGAGCTGCTGGAAACGCAGCAGCAGGATCAGTGCTGGCACCAGATGGGTCCAGACGTTGACAGCCTCGTTGTGCTGCTGGAAGAGGGTGGAGAAGTAGTAACGCCAGGTCTGCTGCACGGGGCGGTAGCCGGTGTGGATGTAGGGCTTCCAGAAGACCTTTGGCACCTCCGAGCTGCTGACGGTGGAGGGAGAGAGGGGGCCCAGCAGCTGAGGGATCTGCCACACATTGAGGAGGCGGCTGAGCTTTTCGGTGACCACCGTGGCCATGATTCAGCCAAATTCCAGGTCCTCGCCGTGCAAAACAACCTCTGGGGTGGAAAGGAAGTTCTGCTGTGGGGTTTAATAGTGACTATACACACAGAAAAAGAAAGAAAAAAACAAGAAGAGATTGATTGAATGCTTTGTCTGGTGGGGTTTTTTTCCCCCAAAGATATGTGTGACTGGAGAATGGCCTCATTATAGCTGAAAATCACCAAAAATAGGAATAGAAAGGAGGCTGAAAGGAGATTTAGGAACCCACTGACTGCCTGACACTGCACAGGCAACAGAGACTGCCTAGAGGAGTGCAGAGGACACGAGTTTGGGGTTAATCAACACAATAATCCACACACAAGGACACATCAGTTCCTAGCTCACCCCTTTCCAGCCATTTGGAAACTGCTAAAACAAACTAAACCCCCCAAACAAACTTCCCCTGCCAGAAGCAGCCCAGATTCCACACACAACCCCCTGGAAAATTTTTGCAGTATCTCTCCTTAAAAACCCCAACAAGCCACATCCCACAGGCAGCAGGACAACCTGCTCTGCCCCACGAGGGGGAATCTGAGACCTGAAAGAACTGCAGTGCCAGTAACAGAAGATGTAACTGCTGCATTCCAAGTTTTTACTGTCTTTTTTCAGCTCCTGCTTTTCCATGCAGCTTTAGACAAAAACAACTAAGTTCATCCTGTTGCATCACTGAGGCCCAGCAGTGTAATCTTTGTGAGCAAGCATTTCCATATTTACATTTATGAAGCTGCTGTCCTTCCTGAGATAACAACCTCGCTGCCTTATTCTGCCTTTTGGTGGCAGCCTTAAAACCATATTGAACAAACAGGCTCGAAATGAGATTTTTTCCCCTCCCTCTCTTTACCTGCTCTTGCTCAGACAAGTTCTGAGAACTCGACTCCTCTCCAGCTCCGGTGCTGATTTACGCCCCAGCTCCTGGCAGGGACAGCTCAGACAGGAAAAGCTCTTTATAAGTTTGGGAACAGCAGGAGGAGGAGGGGATGAGACTGTTTATTTTAAAAACCTCTGTAATTTCCTCATCAAAATGGAGTGAATAGGCCTGTAACTCACGCCTGCCTGAAGCTGAGGAGCACACGCAGATAAAAACAGGCACTTTGCTGCTCGGTTTCCCTCTTGAATGCTCTTTTCCCACCTCGCCTGGTTAAAGAGGCCCCACATCAAAAACAAGTGGCCTGGCTGGGAGCAGGCAGAGGATAACCCTGACCCCTGCCTGGCCTCCTAAACCCTCCTGAGCTGCTGCAAGGCACACACAGGCTGCCAGCCACAAGTTAACTTCCCAAACCTCTTCCGGACTGGCAGCGACTGCGCCCAACTGCAACAGCCTCGGGTGCTGCCGGGGGGCTGGGGGCAAAAGCAGAACCTCCCCCATTAAGCTGTTTTTAACCCAAATTCAAAGAGCCTTTCTGCTGCCTGGAGGACTCACCTCTGTGCCAGGGCTGCCGCTGCCCACGAGGATGCCGGGGAGGGGGCTCAGCTCTGTCTGAGCCCAGGAGAAATCCCTGCGGGGGAGCTGGAAAAGCTGCGTGCCGAGCGGCCGAGCACGAGGCAGGAAAGGGAGCGGTGTTTACTTCAGGTCCTCCAGAACTTGTCGGAGCAGGACTTCATCAGCAAAGCTCTTCCCAGCTCTGCAGCCTCGGGCAAGGCTGGGGCAGGAGCAGAGCACATCCTGGGGGGTGCTGGCAATCATTAATCTGCCTCAGACAAGCCACGGGATGCCGGCAGCGCTGCCTCAGACCCCTGCTGCCTCCCACAGAGCATTTCCTCTCCCCGGCAGCATC